GGGGAGGGAAGGGGGCGAGAAGAAACAGGTGCAGCAGAGGACAACGGCAGTGGCAGATGGGGGGGCCCTCTACACACAGTCGCGCCTCGCAGCATGAGGAGGGGGCCCAGGTCGGGTTGGATCGGATCATTATCATCAAGAGCAGCAGAACCAGCAGCAGCCAGCATCCCGTCGGACAAAACCACAAAAGCGACGACAACTGCAGCAGCGCGGTATACGGCGTAAATACGCGGCACAGCAGCAGCAGCGCTTTACGCCCTTCGTAGATCCCGAGGCGATACGCCGTGGAGCAGCGGCCGGCGGCTGAGGGGGACGCTGGCGGACCAAGAGAGCGGGAGGGAGGGAAGGCCACGGACGGGTCATGCTGCACGGCTGACAAAGCAGGAGCGTGGCGGTGGTGTCATTTTGAAACGAGCAGAGAGGTCCGAGACCGTCGGCGCCGCCAGCCCCGCTCACGTGGTGGTCCCCGCCGAGCACGCCTCTCGGTACGTCGCGAGACCCGACCACGTGGCCGCATGTTTCTTGGCGCGAAAAAGGCAGGCAGCACCGTCGTCCACTTGGGCTCCACGTGCGGGGGGTCAGGGGCTGTCAGGGACACGCGCGCCGCGCCGCGGTGGCGTGGTCTGGCGTTGCGGGCCGAGTGGCCCGCGGCCGCCACCGTCGTCGTCGTCGTCCTTCGGGAAGTCAATTCGGCAGAGCGATAAAGAAAGCGAGGCGAGACGCACAAAACAAAAATGACAAAAAACACAAACACTAGCCTGAAAAAAAAGAAAAGGAATTCACCACCAGGAAAACTCATAAAAATCGCAAAAATGGGCTAAGAAGACTAGTCGTTCGTTCGGGAGAGAGGAGGGGGTGGTGGAGGGAGGTGGAAGGAGGAGGCGGCGGCGACCGAAGGCTACAACAGTGTGGCCTAACAAAAAACACAAGCGCGAGCAACCCGTTTCTATTCTGTCACCTTGCTGAACCCGGATCGTGAAAAACGAAATGTCATAAACTTGGACAAGACCAGCACAAGCGAGGAGGGCGGCGGGGGGAGACGGGAAGGTGAAGGGTTTCCACATCGACGTCTGCTGAGGCACTACCGGGGTGTGGAGGTGGGGGAGTCTCAGGAAAAGGAGAAACGGAAAACAACATCGAGTTTGCACCCCAATGCAGAACGAGCCAAGCGCGCCACCATGCCGTTCCCCCTCTCACCCATCCCAGACCAGCCCACCCCGCTGGTGGAGCGGCAACGAGACCCGCGGGAACCCGAGGCTCCCGCGGCCGCGGAGTGCAAAGTCAAGGACTCCACTCCAGTTGCACAAGAAATCGCAAGCCGCAGCAGCGACAGCGGCAGACCGCGGCCCCGGCCGGGGGGCACCGGGGAGGGAAGACAATCCTCCGCGCGTCCGATTCAGTCAGAAATAGCTGACGGCGCTGGATACAACGGCGCGCTCGCACCAGAGGCCAACTATTATCATCCTCTGATAAAGTGTGAGGAGTTGTTTGTGGACCCGCCAGCCGTCAGCGCTGCTGCCGAGAGTGTAGCACAAGATGGGGACCAATAGGAATCACGACATTGTCATTTTATTTTTGTTGAAAAAGGTTTAATCCGTTTCAAGCACAACAAGCTCGTGCAGAAGAAGTCGCTGTGGCCCCCCACAGGGCACACAAGGCGCGCGTGACACATTTAGACATGGTTAAAGCAAGGTGAAACCCGAGGAAGTGACATCTCGGGCCCCTAAAAATAGCGCCACACACACAGGAGAGTGTGGCGGGGCGCGTGGAGGAGAGAAAGACCGTCAGCCCCACAAACGAATGGCGGGCGGTGGCCGCCCTCTGGCCCCATGGCAGCAGCCCCCCGCCCCCCTCCCCTGGACCTGAATAAATGAGACCAACAGGTCCACCAATTAAACCCCCACAGACGCGCTGCTGCGCGGGCCGCCCGCCGCGTTCAGCCCGCGCTACGCGCTACCCTCCTCCTCCGCCTCCTCACCCCCGCGCCTGGAGGCCCCTAACCCCGCGAACCATAACAACTCGTAGGGAATGCCGCAGAGACAGGACAGACGCGGCCGCTAGGCCAGGCGAGGCGAGCGCCGTGTCGCCGAGCTGTACCGCACACCGGGCGCGCGGGCGGGTTGCCCGCCAGCACGGGGCCAGCCGACAGACGAGTCCCGCTGCGACGCGACGCCCGTGCACTTGTTGGGCGGGCACGCCGCCGACGCCGAGCCTACGGTATGCAGACTCCTCATATCACACACCACACCCCCCGGCGCGCCATGGAGGAAGCGGAGGGGG